CATTATCAACGCAGGGGCAGAAAAGAAGAAGTGGCTGGCTCCTGCTGTCCTGATCTCACTCACAGATGAGGAATTCATTCCTTTGTTCATTCATATTTTTATCTGCCAAATATTGACTAACTGTCTACTACCTACCAGGCACTATTCTAAGTGTCGGGAATACAAAGAAGAACAAAACAAAATTGTGCCCTTGTGAAGTTAAAATTCTAACAGAGGAGAAAGACATTAAACGTAAGGTAATACAATGTCAGGTAGTGTTAAATACTGTGACGAAAATAAAAGAAGGTAAAAGGTGACTGAAAGTGACAGGAGTGTTAATTGTAGATAAGATGGTCAAAGTAAGCCTAAAGGAAGGGCTAATGTTTGAAGGATAATCTGAGTGAAGTGGGACCACAAGCCATACCAACATGTAGGGGGAAGAGAATTTCACAAAAGGGAGGAGGAAATGCAAAAGTTCAGAGACAGGAAGGAGCTTGGCTAGTTTGAGGAACAGCAAGTTCACCAGTGTAACTGGAGAAGAGAAAGGTAAAGATTTGTAGAAAATGAGGTCTGGGGTAGTCAGGAACTGGAGCACACAGGGCCTTATAGGCCGTGGTAAGGACACTGAATTTTATTCCGAGTAAGATGAGAAACCAGTGACATTTCTAGGCAGGGGAGTGAAAGAATGGGCCCCATGACAGTCTCTTCAAAGTATCCTCCTTCATTTTCTCCCACCCTCTTCAAATCATCACTCATCATCTATGTTACTGGCCCTCAATGTATATTACAACTTCTTACATCTGACTCAGTCACTGACTAGTGACATGGATATGTCACTTTCCTCCCTTGGCCTCTTTTTCCTCATTTGTAAAATGAGTAACTTGGACAAGATCATCCATAATTTTCTTCCTGGCTTTATCATTTTTTTTTTCTGGAAACAGAGTCTTGCTTTGTTGCCCAGATTAGGGTGTAGTGGCATCATCATAGCTCACTGCAACCTCAAACTCCTGGGCTCAGTGATCCCTATGCCTCAGGCTCCTGAGTAGCTGGGACTACGGGCACGTGTCACCACAACCCAGCTAATTCTCACTTTACATCTTACAAGCCTAGGTCTGTGCTGTCCAATATAATAGCTGGCTATTTACGTTTAAATCAATTAACATTAACAATTCAGTTCCTTAGTCACACCAGCACATACGAGTCTCCACAGCCACGGGTGGTTAGCGACTACTGCATTAGACAGTGCAGATATAGAACATTTCTATCATCAGCCATCACCGGAAGTTCTATTGGACAGCGCCACACTAGTTGACTCCTGCATCTTCCTCTTTACAACCATTCTCTGTATTTTTACCTAGCAGTTTATGTGGTTTTATTTTTTATATATAACCTATAG